CAAAAAACTATACATTAATAGCATTATAAGTGAAATGGGTATCGAGTGCAACAACCTACAACTGAATATCAACAACACTAATAATACATACACTTATATAAACTCAACAACCCAAAACGACATAATTGAAAAACACAAGAGTTTCAATAACAATAACAACATTAAAAACTTGTCTAATATGAATGTACCAATAATTTACGCCATACCTAAATTACATAAATCACCTATCAAATTCCGATTTATAACAGGTGCCAAAAATAGTAGCCTAAAACCATTATCTATCGAACTCACGAAACTTTTAACTTTCATACGAACGCACTTTCTTAACTACAACAATACTATTAAGAACAGAAACACTCAATTCATAGGCTATTGGGCAATCAATAACATAAACATTAGCGAACAACTCCAAAACATACGCATGGATAAACATGAAACTTTTTTCGGCGGACTTTACGAATATGTTCACCAACCTACCACATTCTCATATTATAAAAAATATTAGAGAAATATTAAAAATATGTTACAAAAATAGCAACAAAAAGTACATTGCACACAATGAACGGAAAACTTTTTACACTAATAACACATCTTATAAGAACTTCAATTATTACACAATTTCAGATATAGTCTACCTTTTGGATTATCTTTTGAAAAACAGCTATTGTAAATTTGCAGAACACCTCTTTGTACAGAAAACGGGAGTACCACAAGGTAGCAATGTTAGCCCTCTATTAGCTGATCTCACATTATCATACTTTGAATATATCTATTCACTTACTCATAACAGTACAAAAAACCTACAATTTAGACCTTTCAGATATATGGATGATATCCTTGTAGTACACAATCTAGATACACAAACTGTTCTAGATAAACTAAACCAAATATACGAAAATATTTTGAAATTGGAAGTTACACACACTGACGAATATAGATGTAATTATTTAGATCTAGAAATCAATATAGATCTAAATAAAATACAGACAAAAATGTATAATAAGACGGACTATTTCAACTTCAACATAAAACGCTTCATCACAACATATGTCGTGTCACATTAACACAGGACGATTGTATTCCGATGTTTAGAAGAGCTCGACATGCCCTCCAAAAAAAGGATTTTATAGTAGGTTAAAAAAAAAAATAAAAAGGATAAAAAAAAGTAGATTAAAATATACTAGAAACCAATTAAACGAATCTGGATATAGTACAGATATCTTTATTATCAATCTGATAAAGTGCTCTGCTAAAAACACTTTTATAAAATATAAATATGAACTAAAAATGGACGATTTACTAGAGTTTCTTCGAAAACTTGATGACCCTTGAAAAGGAAATGAATATGCATCGGCAGAGAATGATAAACAATGATAAAACTTTCACACGTTATATCAAGACTAGCCTCTCATTTTATATCTATCTACTATTCGAGGAGGCAGGACAAGAGGTGAGTTCAATTTTCTATACAAATTCATTGAATAATAAACAAACTCTTTCACTTTTTCATGAAAAACTGTAATTATATGTTAGATAAATCTAATTAGCTATAAAAAACTTTAATTTGTATTAAACCTTAATTAACTCAAATACTAATAATTCATTCACGCTAACAACTTTTGAAAATTTTATTTAATAAATACTACAATAATGTAAATCAAATTCTTTATACCTCTCCTCCCTTACTGATGAGCACAGGGAGAGGATACTCTTTCGTTTAGTCTCCGTCTAAGGGCACGTGCGAAACGGAGACTAAACTACTCTTTGAATCCCACCCCCTAAATAAATTTTGAATAAAACATATAAAAATATTGAGATCGAAAAATAAAAACAAAAACAGTTTAATTTTACAAATACAAAAGTTTTATAAAGCCATTACTTTTATTGTAAATAGATAACACATGATGCATACGTAACCGATGCTTGTAAAATTTGAAATTACGAACGTTAATATATGTATCTACTGATCCGTCACCGACGGGACTTCCATGCCTGCGATAAAACTTTAGTCTTCCGCTGTGGTTCCTCCGCACCTGTGGCACCAACCCCTGTGGATTTGAGGCGCAAGCAGCAAAAAGGAGTTTACATAGTAGAGGAAATTGCCATAACCAAGTCGTGACGGTAGGTTTCCCGCCCTCCTCCCCCTCCTTCCTCCCCCCTGGCCTCAGCTGGACCGCCGCACAGGGATGGAATGGTAAGAAGTGTGCTCAGTAGGTGTTTGTACAGCGCAGGGCTGTTATCTCAGTTATCCTATCAAAACATTTATAGCTTAAGCCCTGCGAGCTGCCTTATCACCCCCTCTATTTTGCGGCCAGAAACACTCCTATATATGTACATACTATGTATATGTATACATACAGGGGAAGCCAATGAAAAAAAGACATTTTGACTATGTCGCATCTCAGCCTTTTTTCCGTCGCTGACAGAAATTCTTCAGCAAAATATTCGTCATTTGCCCCTATAGAAGATGCAAGCCTCCTTCACTGCCCTCACCGTTTTCAGAATATGACGTCATTTGCCATCGTGGTCGAGCTCAAGGAGACCTACATCAAACTCTAATTTGAGTCATTTCCAGATGCCAAAGGTCGCCATAGCCGGTGCCGGCCTAGTTGGCGCGCTAAACGCATGCTACTTCGCTCAACGTGGTTGGGAAGTGGAGGTATATGAATACAGACGAGGTGACAACTTTGAAACTCGTTTTCGCTTTGAGCTTAAGATCAGATATCCGTGGGTCTGCTGTGTTGTAGCAAAGTGCTGCGTAGTGGCTCAGTTTGATTGGCTGTATGGCTCATTTTCGAAAAAACTCCCTACTCAATCCTGTTTGATGTGCAGGCACATGAAGCCACTATGTTCCGGTTCCTATAAAATATTTTGCTCAGATATAAGAACAATGGAGCATGTGCCGGGCCGCAGTATCAACTTAGCGCTATCACAAAGAGGAAAATGCGCACTGGAAGCGGTTGGACTGAAGGATTACATTGTTGAACAAGGTACTTTAGAAATATGTCCTTCACAAGTTACAATAAAATAGGGTTAACTAAACTGCATTTGCACTGACCAGACGTGTTCGACGTTAGGCCGATGTCAGACTTTGCGAATCGATCGATTCGCTACTAGCGATTCGCTAGCGTCCGCGGTCGCGTTGCGGTACCAGCCAATTGAGTGATTCACTGGCCGCGACGCGACCGCAGACGCTAGCGAATCGCGCGATTCGCAAAGTCTGACATCGGCCTAATTCAGCGTGAACACCTGCAGCTGTGGCTGATAGTCATGTGCAAGTGATACGATTTTCCCAACATGAATAAGATGTGTGATCTATGTTGGAAAACTGAATGTGTCACGGGAAAACTCACAAAAAAGCATCACGAAAATTGCAGAGCTTTCGTACTAGATTTCACCAGAAGTAGGGCGAGGGAACCGCAATGCCCGCACAATAATCATCAGGAGTCAAGAAAAATTAGCATTTGTAGAAGAACTCTGCTGCCCATTTAGTCTGCAGTTATTGCTTCAAAAGGGTCATCAAACGGAAATCTGTTCATTCTTTTCTCCGTACAAATTTGTTGCGCGTGGTTGTAGGAAGACCATGCGCAAGGTTCTGAGCGAAAGGAATGAAATCCCGAAGAAAAAGAGTTCCAGGGAATGCTCGATTACTGGACCGCATCTGGGGCAATGGGCGGGAATGGGAGTGCCGTTAGGCGAATGGATGGCAACGTGGAACTCGTGCATGTTTACGCTGCAATGCATTCACATGTGTTGGTTCCCACCGTCAACAACCGTTGGGATAATTTGATGGCTATGATGCAAACGTCTGTCTAGTTATTTGAACAATCCGTCTGAAAGGCGCAAAATGGGACCCTTTTTGCCCGTTGACCTCCGATAATGGACGAGCGCAACCAACTAGGGGTCGTTTGCACATGTTAAGCCAATAGCCACCATCATGCCACCAAGATCATGCATTGATTGATGACCCATTCCATGGGAAAGTTATAGTATATGCGTTTAGTGAATACCCTATGATACCTTATCTGAAAGATAGAACAATGATGCTGCTAGCAACACACTGATGGGCGGAGCACAGGCGGCGGAGGCGGAGCTCAGAAAGGATTGGCAGCCCCAGGGCGCTGAACTAGCGCGCCTTTGGCCACGAAAAGGCCACATCTCGCTTCCTTAGGCCTTAGACTACTGCTTCCACTGGTGCATGTAC